TCTTTTTCTGTACACGAAAGTTGTAGACTGAATGTATAGAGAAACCTTCTCGCAGTCACTAAAATTGGTTGAAGGACTCCTCAGCCGTGGTCTTCTTATTGGTATCACAGATTGGAATGATCGGAATGGGCCAGGCGACACTTCGAACAACTTGCCTTGTTTGCCTCGGGTTTGACTCTCGACGCACTAATGTTAAAAATGGATTAAGGTTCGTAAACTATAAACGACTGTTTATCACTAATGCGTGTATCCATAATTGCCGCAAACTTACGCCAACCTGGTATTTAAGCAATAGTCGCACAGTCAGCCAGATTGACCACAGTCTAGCTGGTTCTGTGTTTAGTAGTTGGGCTCGTGGTAGAAAATGTTGCGTGCTACAGAGTTTGGTAACATCCGCTAGGCAAACTGTGTCTTCACTTTCACGAGCTTAACATTTTACTTCTAATCGGTGCTGAAGACGTCTTCCATGGACGCGAAACCACGACAAAAATCCGATCTCGTTTTACTGCCGGAGTCTGAGAAGAATGCAGTAGTTCACGATTGAGGTTCTAAGTCTGCGAGGCAACTGGAGGAGTTTTCAGGTTCTCCCAGCGACATTGTTGTGATTGTATCAGCTCAGAACTTTTACAGTTTTCTGCCCAGACAGCGTCAGCTATGTCTCGCACCGAGGGTTCCTTCCGCCAGCTTAGGATAATGGTAGCAAAATTTGCCATAAATTACTGGAAAAACTATCGTGCCAAAGTGGCCATCTTCAGGGAAGTGAACTCAAACATTGACAAAACACGGAAACTCAACAATTTGTTCGTCGACTTAGTGGTAGGTTCCCTACTCCGCGTGACTCTATTCGCGATGTGATAACTGCCAGGGTCGAGAGCCAGCGTAAGCACTTCTAGCACCTCAACTTTGACATCTAATCGTTGTCTCCCCTGTCCTCTCTAGCCAATGCTGTGTCGTGCGACCCTCCTTTTCAGGAAGAAAATCACCGACATATTATTTTGGCTGGCCAAAACAAGGTTTCCTGAAATTGTGGCATCCCCTTTACGACCGATACATCTTTTATTGACATTATGGCTCCCAAGTTTCCAGAGGCCNGCTCGCCGATCAGGTTGCGGAACATGCTCGTTCCGTTGTGCCTTGGGGCTCATACTAGAACCCTCGCAGGCAGTCACACAGCGACTAGTAGTAGACATAGATGAGATGGAGCCGACAAAGACAAGGGAGACCGGAATGGCCATTTCTGGCTTATTAGCCGTCATCAGCCAGTCATACCCAACCCCAAGTGTGGATCACTTGAGATTCGAATCCGGGATCTTTGGTCACGGAGTTTGACGCTCTACCATTGAGCCACGGGCCCGTTGTCCTGTCGGTTGTGATCGAGAATATTAATTATGACAGTGGGCGCTCGCCGATCAGGTTGCGGCAAGCATGTTCCGTAACCTGATCGGCGAGCGCCCACTGTCATAATTAATATTCCCGATCACAACCGACAGAACAACGGGCCCGTGGTTCAATGGTAGAGCGTCAAACTCCGTGACCAAAAATCCCATGTTCGAATCTCAAGTGATCCACACTTGGGGTTGGGTATGACTGGCTGATGACGGCTAATAAGCCAGAAATGGCCATTCCGGTCTCCCTTGTCTTTGTCGGTACCATCTCATATATATATATATATATATATATATGCAGTTTGAAATAATACGTTACGTCTGCGGATTGTAGAACCCTTTTGTTAGATCCGAAACGGAAATACTTTTGAAGGAACAGGGCAGAATGCGGGGTGGTGGACAGGCAGTGGCCAATATGTCGACGGTCATTCCATGCGCCCGTGATCACAACGCGTGTACATTTGGTAAATTTAACCTTCATTGCCTCTGCTCCCTCTTTTCCAAGTAAGGTAAAATAATTTACACCTTCAAACGCCTCCACTTTACAGGCAGATGCCAAGCCTTTTGCCCAGCAACTCTGTCTCTGAAGTACCCGCCCAAACGGTCAATCCGGACACCACCCTGCGACGTCATCGAAGTGCTCACAAGAGCAGCGGCCCCATGGATTCCGTCAGCATCCAGCGAAATGTGACTGATGTTTCCGAGTCACCACACACTGACGACCAGCCAGAGGCACCGGTTGAGCTTCTTGTTTCCGCGATCGCTGACCATGCACATTTTCAGTGCGATGCCAGCGAAATGGACTTTGGAGAAGTGCAGATATGTGACAGTCAACGGAGACAGTAAGATTTTATATAACTTACGTATTACTCCAACAAAATGACAAACTATCTGCAAAACTATATAATATGAATTAGGATCCTCAGTTTGATCTGTAAGTTTAATAGAACGAAATCGGTAAGAAAAAAATAATAACGGCAAGTTTCCTAGTAATCAAGCTCAACAAAATAAGCTGCTGACACAGTAGATGAGAATACCACTGTCCTGTACGACTAGCGTTCAGACGCCCTCTCTGAGACAACTCATAGCAAAAGCTTCCTTATGTGATTTCTACTGTCCCAAAGACTGCCCAAGCCTTCTCGAATCATTGGCTCAATAGTATGGGGGTTCAGGCGTCGAGACAAATTAATTCGAAATCCAGTAGGCAAAGCCATAGAAACTTGCACTTTCTGCTGAAGCACATTCTGCGAGATGATTACACTTAAAATATCGACTTCGCTAGTTTTCCAAACGGCATCCTAGTTCCAAATTTTTTTTACTCACAGCCAAAATTCTGAAAAAGCTTTGACTTCGTAACTCAACATGCTCGAATATCAGACACAAGATAAAGAAAATAAAGGAGTCAACTAGGAGAATTTACTTGAATTGTGTAGCATAGGTACATATACCGCAATATTTTCAAAGTAAATGTTTGGTATGCATTTCTGATATCTGTGCACTACAGCAGACATTATGAAAGAACTTCAAAAGGTGTATAAATATCATTTTACTATCCCATAATCAGTCTCACGTGGTCCAAAGTCGGGTTGTTGCTGAGAGTTTCAGAAAGAATAATCTGGTCTATGAGAAAAGATACTGATTGCTAAAGTAATCGCTCAACTAGCCTGACGTGTGGCCTTGTATCCCAACATTAGAAAGCGATAGAGACAGGGAGTGCATCAGAGGCACGAGGCGCTGCTATGTTGTCGTAAACCGACCAGGAAAGATCATGCCACTTATGACCACGTGGTATTTTAGCTAGGCAACTGCGAACTTTGACGCGGCTTGCCTGTGAGTAGGTCTGCGACCGCGCAACAACTGCGTCTGAAAATTAGGGCAGTAAAGCTCGCTCACAGCAGTTAGGAGCATAACGCGCGTGTTTCTGCCTGTAACTCGCTTTTTCGCGAATATAGGTTACCTGCAGTATACCATCCGCGTAACGAGGCGGCCGACTGGGTGGGAAGCATTCCTCACTTCTTGTTTTCAATCCCTATATATCCTATATATTTCACATCTGCGAAGAAAATGCCTACTACCGAATGCTTAACTAATCAATTTTACTTTGACTCCATTTCCGATGAGTCTAATTCAGTTCTTTTTTCACAAACTGACCTGTAATTCAAAGGAAATAATGCAGAGGATACGTAACTCGGAAGGAGATTTGCGACAAATTCTTTAATCGCCTGTTTTCAGCGCAATACAGCAGCATAAGTGTTAGATGCTAACAAAATTTTGTTGCATTGTTCGTTTAGAGAGTTTGTATTTTCAATCTGAGCATGCAGACTTCCATTGAATTTACATCAATTGTTCCGCTCATTGAAGCGTATATACAGACTCGGTCTTCTGTTGGCAGCTCAACCTGCACTGGATTTCGAGCATATGTTGAAGGGCAGCCACTATGGCCATGTCCGGCGTCATTGTCCACAGCCTCGCTACCGTAAGGGCATTCGCCCCCTTGCGGCGAGCCGTTCCAGATGCGCTGACTTTCGGCAACTCGACTCACTTCACCTTGGACACCTGAGAGGACAACCCTGGGTTCTGTGTACAATAAACCCATCAATCTGCGCGCTGAGTTCACACTCCTGCAGCTTATTCGCTATACATCGTCCATCTTTAGTGGATTGTGTTTTCAGTTAAACCAGCATATATTTAACTCATAGTATCTTGATTGCGATTGTCCCTTATGGTAACGAATGAATTCAAAAGCAGTGATAATTCTAGATGGAACTGGCTACTGCTATAAGAGAGAGCGTAATTGGAGACGGGAACCTATGCCTGAAGACTCTAATGTAGGGATATCATTTTCAAATATTTTTTGGCTGCTCCGAAGCCGCCTGTATTGTCTTCCGCATTGTTAAATGTAGTTTAGTTACTGTTTTTTTCTCGCTTTTCCGCTCCCAGAGTAGCTATCAGTAATAAGGGTTTCGTTACACTGAAGTTTGCCTTCACGCAACCAACTAACAATGCGGAGAAGTCCTATACAAATCCCGGCACACTGCCCGAGTCTTTTGATTCTGTCGGTCAAATACCTGAGGCTGTTCGTGAGGAGTCGCCATTCCGTATTCATCCGATTGAAGGTACTGTCTTACCAGGAGCGACTCAGCAAATTGACGTAAGTTTGCTTTTGGTTGCCTGTCAGCATGCATCAAGTGCAGACAAATGTACGTGAGTACTTTGTAGACATCGTTAAACGTACGGCCAAGAACAAATGGCTATTCGAACGAGCCAAAAACGATGATGCCTCCCATTGCTTAACGCGTGACCGAATGCAAATCCCATCAACTATTTTCTCTCAAAATAGCACAACTTCTACATCTGCACACTTTTCCCTCTCCTTTTCAGTACGCGAATAGATATAAAGATATTCTCCCGAAAGGCATGACGTACGATTCATATCTTAGGGTCGTTTTTAGGAAAATGGAGTTTCAATATGGTATAGCATTTTTCAGATGACGAGTCAAAATGAAGTGATATGTAAGCTAGTATTTTCTACTACTCATTTTAACCAGTCTAATGAGGCAGAATTTAAGGGTCGCACATACTAAGGAGTGGTGCGTACATATGTATGTGACATCGGAGATGAGAAATCAGTTTTCGGTGACAACATCCTAAACCAGCCATAAGGCAACTCTTCTATTCTGGAAACAACACAATGAACAAGGCGGAAGGATTAATTAAAAATGATAATATGGGCACACCCCCCCACCGGGACGACTGCCGTCACTGAAACCCTCAGCGGAGACCGTTAACTGGGACCTACTACCAGTAAACGTGAACCTGAGCATACCCGTCGTCCTCTTGCAGGCCTAAGGTCTACGCGTTGTAGTGACGTCTGAGTAGTTTAGGAGATAGACTGCGTCTCTTCGAAAGAAGCCATCGAACGCCGAAATTGGGTCCACACTGTGACCGGGGTTCGAAAGATACTTTGGGACAAAACTCCTAAGCGCCTTCAGAGCTCAATCGACAGCACTTCCTCTGCCAAAAGTACGGTGCTACGCCAGGAACATCAACAACTGCCCGATGATGCGTCGACTGGAGTTCAGATCCGGCCATGGAGCCTACAATCATAGGTATCACTAACCGATGAGAGCAAATAAGCTCTTATGACCGTCCGGTAAAGTTTCCCGTTTATTGATTACTAGTCGTCTGAGTCGATTGTTTACTCTAAGCTCCAAAAACGGAAATGCCCCCTACCGTTCTTCCATCAGGATAGACCGACACATGACTGACATGTGTTTACATGAGTCCCACGGTGTTGAGTAATAAGCGCATGCTCATATGGTTTTCTCTTCTCACCTTATTTTGTGCTTCCAGCGACTATTTTGCACGTGTTCGACTAATCACACTCACGACAGTCGTTGCTTTCCCTGAGAATATTCGCTGAGTTTTCTCATCGAGATGTCCGATGGAGCGTTCGACAATAGTTTATCAGCAGCAAATGTTGATTTACTCCGTTTCATTGTGTAAAGTACGCGGTCAATATCTGCGTATGGCTCAATTCTTTCAGCACTGAGGTCAGTAATTTCCAGGGGCGACTTTGAATGAACTTTTCAGCGCACTTCTTCTCGGTAAGGGAGGGAGCTTTCACGAAATTTGTCTCATCTTCGCTGTGTTCTTCTGGCATATTTTGCTAATTGGATGCAAGTGATGTGGTCATGGTCACTTTACCTCTGAACCGAAGTAGTGTTTGCGAAACTGAACCGCGAACATATCACATTTGTATCCACATATGAGGACCTCCACGAAAACTAATCGTTATTATTTTTGCCCAGTTGTAACTTGAATCTTCGCAAGTGACATGTTCAGAACAGTGGACAACGAACTGTCATCTCTGAAGAAGCAGAGTCTCGTCGAGCACGCTCACTCCAAAGGGCAATTTCACCTACCCATCATCTGAAACCGGTGGACCTAGTACAGCGCCTGTACAGGAACAGGTCATTTTGTCTGTCTGGCAGATTGTCAGTGGAGGCTGCGCACCGTTCTTTCCAGCCTGCCTATAATAAGCAACATATGTTTGAGCGTCTTCGTAAGCAGCGGAAGTATGAACTTGACGTCTAACTGGGCCGTCGTCTGGAAGCTAGTCTCGTGCATCTGTTATGCCAAGTAGTCACCACCTCGGCGATCCCACCCAGTAATGCCGCTTTTTCAGCTGCTAGGCTCCCTGCCAATCGACCTTTCACTACGACCAATTGGTCATCTCTTGAACGAAAATTGCTTCAGAGGAAATTTTTCGTACAGCTTTTGTGGACTGTGGTTCGTCCGCGTCTTCTAGGAGTTCCCTTAGTGCCCTGTTACCCAAGTAGTGAGGAGGATTGAAGATGGTGACCTACGCAAAGTTACGAGGACTTAGTCATATTGTGCACACAAGTACAGCAATCCCCACTGTGGTTTAACTCTCTAGCTGGGTTAAGCGTTCCGAGCTTACATTTGCTACTATTTAGCTGCTCAATGGTGAACAGACGCTGTAATCTAAGGGATAATTCGTATTTTTAGATCATGAATGGTTACTAGGAATTCTATGGTGGCTTAGGCAATACGCGCCCAAGAATACTGAAGATGGATCTATTTGAATGGTTTTTGAAAAGGTTGAATTTTTAGATTAGAATGGAAAACAGTACTCAGTCACTAAAGCATCATTCGTGGAGAAAAAAATACAAAGACAACATTTATTGTCTCAGTAATTCAGTGGCTACGTGAGCAGCGTAAGTAAGATTCATTCCAAACCAACCAGAGCGGAGCAAAATACCAAGACAGCAAACCCGACAACGAAGCATGCAGGAAGTAAATCACCAATGGCGACTGAAGGCTGCGGCGGAACTTGCAATCAAGGAGGATCAGGACTCCAAATGAGTGCGCTTTAAAAATTTATAATCAAAGGCAATCGGTGACGGTGACTACCACTCTACCCGCTCCCACCACCGGCCCGAACGCTCCTGATGTCGCGCTAAGTACCGCCTTCATCCTCACCATCACCTCTCACACCACCAGCAATGTGGACTCCCTCCGAATCTGTCCTAATTGCGGTTGTACCTTTACATCACAGATGAACTTGGCCGGTCACTTGCGAATCCATTGAATTAAGAGCACCGATACCAGGAACACCAATATATACCCGGCGCACCCGCCTCACCTTCCCGCACGGTTCACGCAAATTCAGTCACCGCGTGGACCTACTCCGCCACATGCGCAATTATGCAAATCTGCGGTTAATTGCACATCAAACCCTCTCATCACACATCTTCCCACCAGCCGATCATACACTAACCCATCTCACGTCACCCACCACAGGCACGGAATAGGCACTTCTCATGCAAGTGGGAAGCGTGTCCTATGGTTTCCTCTTCATGTGGTCTCTATGGCACTCTAGCGCTTGTGAGATTTGAGCAACCCACCCCTCTGCTTAAAGACCTGGCGTTTTGTTGGGTGCAGGTCGTGTGCGTGGCACGCGCAGACGGGATGTTTTAGCCCCATCAACCACAGTGCGCCAAAGGCCGTGGCTAGGAAGGCTGCCAACTAACGGGGCAACTCAGTCCTCTCCTCTCCGAAGGGAGAATCAGACTGCAATGGCTCTTTCTTAGTTCAGCCACACACGCAAATGGAATCTCAGTATTTTTTTTCTTATGTGTTAGAACCTGGTTCATCGGGCGCCCACCAGGTGCGTGTGACAGGCGCGGACGAGCTGTTTATTTTTGTCGGCCACTGCGACCGATCCCACCTTTGGTCTTTCGTGATTCCGTCTTGACAACGGGCTCAGATGAGTGAGGGAGCGGGGGGTGTGTAGCAGGCGCATCGCAAGTCTACTAGCACCTTAAACTAACTCACATGCAATTCATCGTCGCCTCGCCCATCCTTCTATGAGACACACAGTGGACATCGACGGTAACAATGGTCGAACTGGTATATGATATGCCATTATAAATGCCTCAACTCGTTCTTAGATTAACTTTCCTGAAAACCTCCGTCTCGCTTTTTGGGACAGCGTCCGGTGGCGATTCTATTTTTCTTTAGACTTTCAATTCCACTTCCTTTACCCGACCTCGAGATGACAGCATCTGACTACTTCCTTTAGTCCTCTAAAGCAGCAACCTGTGGTTTGGCCGACATAGTACGCTTTGAAACGGGATAAGTTCAGTATTCAAACATAACTTTGAGAAATCGCTATTTTATCCATCGAACGTTGCCTTTTAACTTCGACGATGCGAATATTTAAACTGGTTTTTGAGTACTTGTTGCGTCTTTTTTGCGTTTGTCAGGTTAAACTTGAGAGTTACTAAGAGAGTTCAAGTATGCAGCTGATGCAACCTAAAATGGACGAGTCTATATTATCCCTGATGGCTTTGCTTATCTCTCATTCTAGATAAACTTCTGTCCCAAGGAGGCCAGAAAGTACTCCGAACTTGTAACGTTGCGTGTTGATAATACCGAGACGACTGCACTCGCAAAAACTCCGATGACAGTCGGAGCGTCCAACTCCTCACAAAACTTAGCCCAATCGAAAGGAGGAGAAACGCCAACAGAGCCTGGTTACTGGCCAATTAATCTACTCGGCGTTGCGATCGATAGAGTCATAAAATTCTCAACAGTAAGCCTTGATGGTGGTTGGACAGAACTGGACACTCTTTCCCATCTGTCATTGGAGTCTCCGGACGCGGACGCACATTTAGTTGAGCTCAGTGCAGTCGGAGTGGGTTCGAGGGCCTCAAGGTAGGGAAAGTCACAAATTTGCCAAACTTCACTTGTAATTTCAAGATGGTTGTTTTTACTGCCAAATAGAATTCTAAGTAACCATACCAACCGGTGAGAAGTAAAATGACTTTTTCGAAAACTTCAAGACTCCGTCTTGCCCCAAACTCTCATTAGGGTTAGTTTCGTGACTGAGCTCTAACATATATAGTTGACGTCGAAATTCGTGGAAGATTGACTGCGATCTCAAAACTTGCCTACACCTCTAAAGTCCTCGCAAAATAAGATTTTAATGCTGATCAGAACGGGAGATACCCCCGAAGCAACTCGTACGCGATAATATTCAGCTTCTGGGTGGACATATTTCCAGTCGTATCTGTATCCGTGTTATCAAAGAGGCACTGCTTAAGTAGTACGTATCGTTTCTACTTATTATCGGGCTCTATATAAACTAAACAGCCTTCCCAAGGAAGGATGCAAAAGTGTCATTTTTAGTACTTATCCGCCCTAATACTATTAAAAACCGGACCAATTTTGGACAGTTGCTCTCGCTCAGTCAGCGGTTGAATAAATTCATCCATCAGCAGAGGTACAGGACGCGTACTTGTGCGCTCTAAGGTTGATGCAGCATCGTTAATAGTGTGGTGTGCAGTGGAACCGAGTAAGTTAGACCGAAGAATCGCGGTTCATTTTTGAAACATCGGGAGAGACAAGTCCCAAATGTGGGTAATACCAAATTTCCATTCCATTTATTCAGAAGACGACTTAGCGGGAATTTGTTAAAAAATAAATTTTTATCAGACCTAGAAAACTACATAGAAACTTTGTTTTTAAGTTGGAAGGACAAGGCACAAAGCCTGTCTAGATCGAGGATGACTAATATCCCCGGCACTGTTGGACACCTGGAGGGTAATCGAGGTAAAATGGATTAGACTGCCCTCCCGGCGTTCTCCGTAGCATGCCTTGGCCCAGCCAAACAAAGATCCGGTCGACATACTGGCCGATGCCTGACCAGGCAATACCTTTCACCTCTTACATGCTATACTGCTGTTTGCCATGCAATCGTCGGAAACTTGGCATTACTTCGACCCCTGTCCGGCAACTGCACTTTGGCCCTAGGGACTCAGAGGAGCTTGGGGATGTGGGCTTAGTACATAGGGTACCGTCTTGAGACTGCTACGGGTGAATATGCCTCCCTTATTACCGGGAGCGTATGCTCTAAATAAACGCAATTCGTTTATCACGAACGCTGATCCTCAGATGCTCGAACTCATTGTTACCAATTCATACTGCTGTAAACATTTAATGGAAATGTGTGTAGGCAGCCTTGTTCTACTTTTGTTTTCTCTTAGGAATCTCCTCGTTACGAACACTAGTCAGACGTGCTACCGGATTCACTTTCGTAATACCGAAAAGGCCGCAGTGAAACGGGATGAAATCGTCTCGTTTTCTCCCAGTTTCTTGGCACTGGAACCCGGAATCAGTGAGCAGGTGATTTTAAATGGCCCGCTAATGTGTTGTTGATAAGTTGACAACCTAGCGTATTTCATCAATACGATAGCGGACTTTTTGCAGTCATTGAATAAACATCCCAGCTGGCCTCAAACCTCAGGAGGCGCTTGTCTTCCACTAACTACGTCGATGAATTCCCGTTCACGTTTAAATAAAACTTGTGACGGAATTCGGCTGGAACCCACGCAGTAGCCAGTCACCACTCTAAAGGGCCTCACCACCTAAGAAAATATGAAAACTCAACAGGGCTGAGTACTTCGTGAACTATTAATTGTGCTGTTGTTTAACAACTGAAACTTCGCCAATAGAAGCGAAGAGACGAGCCCCAGGAAGTAGTCTTGAAGAAGGAGATACGATCGCCGGGACAAGAACTTTATTAGCCTGACGTCTCGGATTCCTACTCGAATCCATCATCAGAGACAAAAAAGCACGAAAGAAAACCCTTAAATACTGTGACGTGCAGTACGCAACCCACCTCCGATGATGGAAGCTTGTTTGCTTTCGGAACGTCAGGCAAATAAATCCATGGTTCCTGTGATCGCCTTATTTTCTCAGTTATATCCTGAAACGCGCATTTTCGCTTCAATCAGCAATATAAATTAATATAAATACAAATATAAAATATTGAAATCAAAAACGTTCCAATTCCAAATATAAAATATATTAGAAGACTGTCGAAAATCAATAGAAAAATGCATGCTACTTAAGTAGTCATTTTTGACGAGTATGGTTTCTGCAGGAGGTCAAAAAGGAGTGTATTTAAAAGCCGACATCCTGGCGAGTGCGAAATGTTATAGGGTTTTGCTGCATTATAATCAGTATAACAACCCCACTTAAGTAATCCTTCCTAATCGGAAACGCAGTCCAGAATTTTGGCCAACATTTGATGAGATCGGTCACTCACTGAACTTTGCTTCTTATCCTTCGCCATTCGTTGCAACCGTCCGTTCAGGGGCTACAGGAAACGTTTATTTTGATGAAAAACGTAGATGTTTTTCAAATAGCATAGGCGCCAAGGAGATTTCAGTTCTGCTGAAACGATATCCAGTACTGTTTACTTCTGCGACATCATTCCTAAACGTGAAATCAAAAGAGGCGGAAACCAATCTTGTATTAATTCCCTTCAACTAATTCGTGCCTTCTGACTTGACCTCACTTTATTCACAGATTGAGGTCACCTTCACCGGACAACTTCAGGAGACTGTTCAGTCAAAATGGGAGGTACGGATACCGGAACTTGATGCAGCATTTCCACTCACGGTAGTGGGACGCACCCGGGAACCGAAGGTTACCTTCGACCGTACCAATTTTACTCTGCCAACTACACTGGTGGGACACACCGTGTCACGTACCGAAGTCTGCCTGATAAATAGGGAATCGGACGCCGCATACGACTTTGCAATTTCAGACAAAAGCTGTCTGTGCGAGAACCTGACCAATCGGCTCACAGTATGCCCTCGCCGAGGTCGCCTTCAACCAGGCGAAAGGTGTGTGGTTTTTTAAGTCCTATAAGTGCAGCTTTCTCACGCAAACAAAATTGGGTTTTGTATAGTGATGCAATGCCTAACTGTCAGGTCCGTGATTGAAGGCTAATGTTGTTGTTAGAGTTGTCAGTGAGCGCATCCGGTTAGATTTGATGCCCAGAAATTTAAGCGAATTGACTGCCACGTACAGCATGCAAGGTTAGCGCAGCGTTCTGGTAATTCCCATCGATAACGCATAGCACAGTTTGTTTAGGGCATGCTGTAAATAAAAAAAACATGCGAAACCTAAACGAGATTTTTATTCTCACGCTTTTGCTGTTTCACTTCGACCGCTCCCAATGTTCCCGCTTATATAACGCTTATTTCCACCTAACCTCCATTATCCATCATTTAAATTTTATTTTGAGAGGGGCTGTGACTCCAAAGTTATGGCTGATAGAATACTGGAGATGCCTTTAACTTCAAGATCCCTGTTGTCTAGTTCCGTTATGGACGGAAAAAGAAAGACGCCAGCAGGAGATGTGTATTCGGGTGGCATCCAGAGCCCCCTGACCCGCGGCCAGTTCTAGGCCTGCGCCGCTCCTCTTCACAATCGTGGTGAGGGTGCGAATGTCTGAGCGTGCGTCCCACATGCAGAGTCTGTGGTTGACTGGTCTTGGAGATGAACGCGCGCGTGTTCGCGTGATCACTTGCTTCCTAACACGACTTGTGTGCAGGGTGGATGCCTTGTGAGCGCTCGAGGACCACCAACTTCATTAAACCACACTTTCCTGGAGTGATACCACAAGTTTAGCCTACTAAAACAATTTGAGTAGGCGTGATTACATCGGCTTTACATCATGGTACAACCGGCTGTCCATCTTGGCTTTTCAGTTGCGGTTGGACTCTCCTAATTCTCTTAATCCAGCTAGAGGTTGCGTCTAGGGGAAAGTGTGTTTACGCCACCTTCGGTTACACCAAGCGTTACTTCGTACGTGCTTACTTGAGCGTGCTTCGAGCTCGGCTTGCTCTCTGTTGTCCAGCGAGTGGCTAAGTTTGATATCTTAACGGTTTTGTTGGGAGGACATGATATCTTTGACGGTTACCTCACAGCGAGTGAATGTGTCGCAGGAGTCAGTGGGTACACGCCACCTGCGTTTACATCTCCGAGTGTCCCATTAGGATTGCTAATGACTTTACTTGGGCGGAGTGAAACTGCGCCAGTTACACTGCCGCGCCCACGAGCTGCGAATTACGATAGTTCACTCCATTGCTTTTCACTTGTAATTGCGTTCCTCTTTATTCTGTTAATCGGGACAATGGCTGTGTTACGGTTCCTTCTGTCGCCTTCCCCTTGCGTTTGCATATTCCCTCTACCATTAATCTAACTAGTGCCCTTGTCGCGGGGAGAGTGTTCACACGTCACCTTCAGTCATAATGAACGTTGGTTAACACGCACATCCCATTGCCTGCTTGCAACTCTGCTTGCGCTCCCTTCCCCTTCCTAATCAAGTGAATCGGTAGGTTTGGTATTTTAACGGTATTGTTCAGTTGCAGGGGTTTCCTACCGTTTGCCTTAGCGAAACCATTGCTCTGCAGATCTAGCACACGCTTCCGTTCGCGGCATTCGAGTCGTGCATACGTTCTCCTTCCGATCTTCACTCAACAAGCGGTTGTGCCGTGGGGAGAGTGCGAACACGCCACCTTCAACTAAACCAGGTTACCATTAACACATTTGCTTCCTTGCAGGTGCTTTGAGTTCGGTTTGCGTCCTCTTTCCCTTCCTAATCGTGTATCCAGCTGAGCAGTTTTGTTATCCGTACTGCTCTGCATGAAATGGTATCACAGACGGCTTCCTTTGGGTGCATATCTCCTGTAGAATTCGCGTGTGGTTCTACTCCTGGTCCGTGTGTTCGCCTTTTGCCGTCCTTAGTGAGGGGCTGCGTCTGCGGAAGTGTGTGCGCCTTTTCCTTCATGGACTTACCTCACACTGACGTGCGGAATCTCCATATGCACAGTGCGCAATGCTTTCTTGCTCCGTCTTCCTATAACTGGACTACTATTAGGAAGAATGCATTTGCGTCTGCAGACAACAGTAATATTGTCTTATACGTTGCACAAAAATGGGAAAAGCTGTTCAGTTACGTTTAACGGTCGGACTTCGGAGACAGGGCGGCCATTCGTTTCCGTACGTCGTCGGTTTGACGGGAACTTCACCTAGGTTACTGTCTTCGGCGTAAAACGTCTACTCACACGGCATTTGATATAGATGAGAGGTATACCTTCGGCTTCTGTCATTAACCAGATAGGCGTCAGTCATGTGTTGAAGGAATATTTCTCAGACTTCCGACATATTGCTTGCCTTCACGCCGAACCACAGTTGATACTGGGCTTCGTCTAAGTGGGCCCACGGTGCTCTTCCTGATATCGGACCCTTTGGGTGGAGTTTTCACCTCCGTCTTCTCCAGTAGGCCTCGATGGCGTTCGTATTTTTACCACTGATCGGATCCGCAAAATTGGTGTGGTGTGGTGTTGATAACCTTTTTCCGGCAAGCGAGAGTATGCCTCCATTGCCTGGGGCCACCCGTTTCCTTATAAATGCCTTCAGGGCAGGCCAACTTCCGTCACCAACTTGTTTGAAGAGGGCCTTCTCCTGTGTCGTATCATACATGCCAGTAATCCAATGTTGTCTCTTCCATCGCCCTACACTGTACTTACGCCGGCTAATAATTGTCTTGTCAGTTTGTACTTCTATGCCTGACTCTCCTATTGGGTTAACCTCATCCAGGATGGCCTTTGAGCATACATATCGCCAGATGTTATACCATTTAGATGCCGTGATACGATTTATATCAACTGACGTCGCACATTTGATGACCCTGTTCCTTCGAGGAAAGCGAGGCAGCTTACGTCAAACAGATAGCCGTCGGTATGCTATACCTAAATACATACCCATCGGTATGCTGCCGTATTAGTTGCAGTCTCATCGGCCGGCGACATCGGCAGATTACCCCCGACGTTAGCAATTTATTTGCTTGGAGGTGTTGTGCAGTTTGGGGCGAGTTGATTGCCTTTTGTATTTCAGGAGAGTATCTGGTGAGCATACGCGTGTTTCCGATAAATTCTCATCGGGCCTATACACTTATATGGGAACGAGGTACAAACTGAAACGTGTGAGCGATAAGAGCAATCGATTACGGTTCGTCTTTTCACACGAACGGGGTATGTGAATAGGGCGAGGGAGGGGGGAGAGGAAGGAGTAAGTGACAGTGAGGGTCTGGTGGGGCCGTGTCACAAGGGGCGGGGGGAGGTAGGGGACGGGGGCGCGGAGACACGCATAGAGTTAATCGACCCTTGCCCACGGCAGGCGCGGAGCCTGCATGAGGTTCTTCTGCGCGCACAGGCGGGCCTCTATAGCCCAATGGCAGTCGCCTCTGCTGTTGCTAGGACGCTCTCATCCTGTTGAACGCACCGACGGGAACTCACATATGTACCCGACTGTCTCTATGACCGGAACGTTTGTGTAGATTGACAAGATATCAAGTAAAAGCACCATCATACCGTTTAGGTTTAGGTCTTTGACGTCTTCAATGAATTCGAAAGCGTCCCGATAGCTATGTGGTGCTAGTTGGTACAGTTGAGGTTTGGGTTTCTCTGCTAACCACTTCGCTATTGCCGGAGAGGGGGAGTTGCGCATGTCAAAGATCGGGCGGACTGGTAGGCCATTCTTGTGGATCTCCGCTTATGAAGCCTCCTGCATGGAGTTTGCGTAGGCAGTCGATCGGTTTTGCTTCTATTTCGTCTATGGGATCTTTTTATTTGTCGGCTTTCTTGCATTTTTTCTGGTCTGACAATATAGGCTATATTTTCGCCACACGATAAGATCTGTCAGTAAAACTACGCCTGTTCCTTTATCCGGTCTAGTTACCAAAATATCTCTGTTCTCTCTCAGTTGCTTTAGCTTCTGTATGTGAGCTTTTGTTAGCAGTCCCCGACTTTTTTGTGTTTTTGCTCTGATATTGACGACTGCAATGCACCAATGTCGATTTTAAGTGTTGGACACTATCTGTGGTAATGGGCTTTAGATCGTACGTCTGGCTGCGGATATTCCCGAACTGTGTTTGGAAGTCTAGCTGACTGACGTTTCGGCGAGTTATGCTGAACTTAGGACTAAGAGACAATGCTTTAATTGATGTTTTATCGAGAGCCATAGAAGAATAATTATGTACGTACCGATGTGGGTCTTTTGGAAGCCCTGACTGTGGTTCCATTTTGTGCACCTGTTGAAAGAATGAAGATCTCTTTGCATCTGCCCGTTTTCCTCCTATAGACTCGGTGTAGTTGGTAAATTCTAGTCTTTCGTTTTCTGTCAGGATGCCAAGAACGGCTGCGCGTTGACAAGCGTAACGCTCTAGTTCTTCCATCTTTACGTGGATGCTTTCCAGTTGGTTTTCCAGCGTATCTTGCCAGGGTTACGAAGGCAGTAACTGTATGACTATGTCTTACGCACTCCAATAGTGGCTTAGATATTCATTTCTCTCAATACAGTCCCCAATAAATTTGACGAGTACTTTCGCCTCCAGAAGCTTGGCGTTAAAACGTAGGCACCCACTGAGTACCTTTAACACCGCGGGATCTTTGGACTGTTTTAAAGTTGCGAAAATCCCCATTGTGTAATTTAGAAGAGAATTTGGCTAGCATACGCGTGTTTTCGATAAATTCTCATCGGGTCTGCACATTTATATGGGAACGAGGTACAAACTGAAGCGTGCGAGCGTGTATTTTGCGAAATCCCGTCCGCATGTCCACCTGCGGTCCTACTCTACTATGCGGCTTACTCGTCTACAGTTTGCAAATGAAATAATTAAATCGCTTTCGTCTTCAGATTAATTAAATATCTAGGCTACTTCACAGTTACGTCATCATTTACCTTGCCCCCCCCGTTGCCTTAGCCGTCTCGAAGGCTGCTGATACCTCCAAATGGCCATTTGTTACAATTAAGACCACTGACTTACGCTTTCTATGTATGTTTATCATTTCTTGTGGCCATTTCGGTACTTTTTCCTGCGTCGTTTCTTCCTGCGTCAAGTTTATTTCGCACGATTTGCGGACTGACCTTGACACTGGGTTCCCATTTCCGGTTGTTCGTTTATTTTTGATTGCTCCTGTTCCAGCCAACCACGGCTATCTCCGCAGCCTGTTCACAAATCCCTTCCCATCTTTTAATTTTGTACATTTCCGTCGCCTCCCTTAAACAATCCATTTTGCCTTACCTACTCCTCTGGTACTTCTCGTATTTTCTTCGCCCAGCAGACCTCAACCGCGACCCCATCCGTAAAACCCCCTTTTACCACCATCCCCATACTATAGGTGTCTTAAGCTTCATTGTTCCATCTGAGGCTGCCGGACCAAACCTCACCCACGTCGTTGCGTTGCCTTATTTTAAGCATTATCACGGAGGAGTTGTAGGGAGCAAAGAGCTTGTCAAATGTCTTCCTATTTTATAATTTAACAGCCCACGGTGGCCGAAGCTAGCGCTACCTAACTATCTCTCTTGTGAACTACCGTAACTAATTGCGTCCTCACCTTTACAATTAGTAGAGCCCATTTAAGATGACGTCAGTTGTTCACAGATATAGTATCAGCCTCGAGCAAAGTCTTGGATATGAACTAAAAGCCTATGCATGGGAAGTCCTTACAAAGAGTACGTAGGGCGAATTAGACAGTTAATAAATGCTAATTTGATTTCGGTGCACATCCCGAGAGAATGCCCGTTAAGTTAAACATGGCTTTCTTTTTAGGCTTCCACTTACAATCAGTTTCTGCCCCAAACAACCCAGACGCTTCAATTTCAATCTCATATGTCACGTCAAGGGCAAAAAATCAATGAGATTAAATGTGAAGGCTGAGAGCTTCACTGTGCAGACCTCTGCCTGGCTGGACGGCGACTTCGAAAACCAACGACGTGGAGTAGACCTTCTTCTTGAACCCTCCCTCGGCGAGACTGCTACTGAGGCCGCGTTGACCATAATACGCAAGTTTGATAACTCACCAGCTCTCCGATCCCGTCTAGTTGATCTACAGTTCGGCGAAGTCGCCTGCGGTAGTGAACGCGTACGCCAAATCACGCTAATCAACCATGGGACCTTTGACGTCGAATTCACCGCCCTTATTCACTCGCTACGCCGGCCTATCCAGAAGACCCGACCTAACGCGCAGAAAATGAATAAGTTGACAAATAACCTCTCCCAGATGGTCTTTATTGAGCCATCTAATGGTCTGATAGCCGCAGGCTCACGAGTAACTTTGAGTGCACACTTCCTCCCTCATGGTCGCCAGAAAGATCCTGCCTGTCCACCCAGACACATATACCTAGACAACAACTTATTTGCCCTAGTGACTGTGAGAGATGGGCCATCCTTTGGCTTCCACCTGACGGGCAGTTCGCTGCCACCACCCATTGAAATTTCACCGGACTCACTAGACTTTGGCAATCAGTTTGTTACCTCGGCTGGCTTCGAGAATCTAACCCTGCCTATCTCCCTTCGCAATACTGGGGAAACCGAATCAATTAGCATTGAGTGCATGCAACCCTCGTGTTCTGCCTTCCACTGTATCTTTGAGCCTTGCGTTCTGGAGCCGTCGAGTAAGACAGTCGACAACCCCGGTCACAAAACAGCATTGATCAGTTTTACGCCAGCCGAGTGCAGACAGTACCGTGATAGTGTATCATTCCGAGTCAATGGTGCTACCGTCTACACTGTTCCGCTCAAGGGTAGAGGCGCCTCTTTGGAATTAGACGTGGAAGTGGGCAATCTGTTGCTAGGTAATGCCAGTTCCAAACTCCGGGCGAGCTCGAACACTGGCAGGCTGAATTTATCCCCATGTGATACTACAAATGCCGATCCTGTGGTGGTTACACCATCGAACTTTGCCTTTTTGGGCAGGCTTCGGGTTGGTCAGTGCTCTCGAAGGACAGTTAAA